TGGGAGTTTGCTGGCCTTATCTAGCTGTGGCAGAAAGTATGTGTTCCCATGTTACCCAGTAAGCAAGGATACCAGAGTCACTCCCTTTTCATCGGAGCAGACCTTCCCACCACACAGTCTACGGTCCCTTGCTGGATACCTCTGTTTGGACACCTTGCTTCCCAAACTTGGCTTCATTCAATTCCACCGTCTCTGTTGTTACCACAGTAGCTTACTGCATGTCTTAATGTGGTTTTCTTAATCTCCTTTAAAAAAATTAAAGTTATTTAAAAAGGAAATGGCACACAGGGCCACAGTCTACCATCAGCAATTCTGAAGTCCCTAAAGTCCGCAAACTGAAAGTTCTTTCAAAGTTTAAGGCAAACTTATTTGCCATCAGGACCTGACCTGAATTGATGTGAGGCTATTTATAGTCTCTATTTATTCTAATTAGTGTGACTTGTCATAGATTTCTCTGCAGAAATATTAATGTGTTTGCTTACAAGGTGATTCCCTAGACACTCCCAGAGACGTTGGGTTACATACTCTATATGCACAGAGTAATCTTTCTAAAAAGTGAAAAATTCTGAATCCTGAAATAGACCTGATAAGGATTTTGAAGCTGTCACAAAGCTCTCCATAGAAAATGAGTACCACCCCTATAAAGAGAAAGCAACCATAAAAATTAATACAATTACAAGATAAATTAAAAATTCAAGAAGAAAAATTCACCCACAAACCACTATAAATTATCTCGTGACCTGCTCTATGTTGGCAGTCAGATCTCCTCTGGCCCCATCAGCAGAAGCCAAGCCCTTTCTGCAAGTTCCTAGAATCAGAGGCCTGCTGTCTGCTTCCCCATGTGATTTTAAATGGGGTCAAGCTCCCATCTGCACTTACTTTGAATATCTCATCAGGAAGGCATTTTATTGTTGATGGCTGGAAATACGGCATCAAGCCTTTGTCGAGCATTTGGAGTTCGTCCTTAGTTAATCCAGCTGGGAAGAAAAAGGAATTGCGAGGGTTTAGTTCAAGCCATCAGAACTCCTCTTGTTTAACTAATGGTGCTGCATAATGTACAGATCTGCGAGGTCCAGGCAAGTATCTCCCTTACAAAAGACGCTGGGAAAGGAAGCTCCTTCATCAACACAGAAAAAAAATGTGGGTCACATTAGCCCTGATTGGCCTCCTACAATGAAATGTATGCCCAGAAGGAGCCTCGCCTTACACAATTTCAGACTGTGTGCAAATCTATTTGTGGGGCAATTAAATCACATTCTAAGCCAGTGGTTTTGAAACCTTGGTGTAGACAAGAATCACCAGGGGACACTTGCAATCTCCACCCTCAGCAACTTCGAGTCATGAAATCTAGGCTCTGTTGTAACTCTGTGGATGTTCACTACACACGGCCAAGGATTCTTTCACTTTCTGCCCCAGATTCAAGGTTAGAAAGGGAGAGAAGTACACTCAGGTGCCTCCTACCCTACCTGCAATAGTCCCGAGC